AACAACTCGTTTTTGGAGGCCGAATTGGGGAGACAGCCCAGCTACTGTTGGAAAAGTATTCTTTCAGCCCAAGAAATTCTTCGAAGCGGTATTCGACGTCGTATTGGCGATGGACGAGAGACACATCTTTGGGGTACTCCCTGGCTCCTTGAAGAAGTTAATCCCTATCCAAGCATGGCCAGACGCGTGGAGAATGAAGACCCCTTAGTGGCTGATTTTATTGACTTTGATTTAAATTCTTGGAATGTAGCAAAGCTGGAATAATACTTTGACGCTGGTGAAGTGCTGCAAATTCGCAGGGTTCCTGTTAATACTAGAAGTTCCGATGGATGGTTCTGGATTGGGGACTTCCGTGGGGCTTATACGGTGAAAAGTGCTTACAGATGTTTGATGGGAGATGCTTCTGTCGTGTCCTCTTTTTCAAACTGGGGAAGATTTTGGCGGATTCTGGTGGCCCCGAAAGTTCTTGTTTGCTTGTGGAGGGCCGTTCGAGGTATCTTGCCCACGCGGGATGCTCTCATTTCTAAGAGAGTGGAGGTGGATGGGGGCTGCCCTCTCTGTGGAGGAGCTCTCGAAATAGTTGATCATATTTTTTTGTTTTGTCCTTTTGCAGATTCTGTTTGGAGGCTCATGGGCAAAGGAGGTAATAGAATCTATTTTATCTCTTTCCAAAACTGGTTCCAAACAATGCAACTTTTGACGTTGAGCCGGGGGTCTCTTTGGAAACAGCCTCTCTACTTTTGAGTAGGGGTAAGGTCTGCGTACACACACCCTCCCCAGACCCTACTCTTGTGGGATTTAACTAGGTTGTTGTTGTTGTTGTTGTTCCAAAACTGGTTCCAAGTTCGGTGTCAGAATGACACTTTATTGGAGCTGCGTACCGTCGCTTTGACTTGCTGGGCAATTTGGAAAGCACGTAACATTGCCATTTGGGATCATAAGACACTGCATCTAGGAGAGCTCAAGAATATGGTGTCGTCCATGGAAGCCCAATGGTCAAACAAGACTATTGCAGAGCGGGGGCGTACTCCACAGCGGCACGAGGTAAGTTTGCGGGCAGAGGCATACAGGTGTTTTTTTGATGCTGCGACATCAGTTTCGGAGGAGTCCATCTCCTTCGGCTGTGTCCTTTTTGATCCAGGAGGTGCCTTTGTGGCAGCGGCAAATGGAGGAAAACTTGGGCCTCTAGATCCTCTTTTGGCGGAAGCTCTCGCTTGCATGGAAACATTATCTTGGTTGCGGAATCGAGGTATTCGTGACGTTGAAATTCTTTCTGATTGTGAGGTTTTAGTGGGGGCTATCAAGCAAGGAAGGGCCTTTGAGTGCTACTCTTATCTAGGTCCTATCCTTGATGATTGTGTTGAATTATTATCTTCGTTTACATCTATTGGCTTTCATTTTATTCGTAGGAATCATAATTGTATTGCTCATACTCTTGCACGGTGTGCTACGCCCCATTTTGTCTCATGGAGCAGTACACCACCCAGCTGTATTGCACATCTAATTTCTTCTTAATGAAGTTTTGTTTTTCTGTCAAAAAAAAAAAATTTATCTCCATATCTTGAATAAAAATAAATATATAAATAAATATAAGTTTAAGATAATTAACACAAATATCATACATTTTATTATCATTATTTATTTTAGAACAGACATAATAATACAAGCACACATGAAAATAAAATACAAATTTCCATTATTTATTTAAAAAGTAAACACACTATAACAGAGTAAATGAAAATGTTTAAATCGTAGTAGTTCCACCAAAGGTCACTTCATCACCAATTTCATCATCATCCATGTAGAAATCGGACACGTCAAATTTAGGCAAAATTGGATTGATATCATCAGCATAATTAGCTTCCACATTTTTCCCTTTTCCTTTTGTGGAAGCTTGGTATAATTTAACCAAATGTTTTGCCGTTCGACATTCATTCGCCCAGTGTCCTTTTATGCCACATTTGTAGCATTCACCACTTGGTTTTGGCTTTTCATAAGTTTTAGCCTGTGGTGGTTTGAATTTTCCTTTTCCTTTGGAGGATGATCCATTTGGATTTTT